CTACATTCTAGTGATTTCAGGGGATCTCTTCTGAGTGTGACTTAGACAGATTACAATCCTTAAATAGTGAATTGACATTAGTTTGTTTATTGCACAGTTGCATATTGCTACGGGACATAAAAAACAGTAAATGTTTAAATTTTGGATATTTGCATTAAACTTGATAGCCTATGTGAGCTTGAATGAAAAGAACATGCTGGATGAGTAGTAAATCAATTTCAATAAGATTGTTTTTATAGCAAAAACAATTAAAATCAATTTTAGGGTTATGTAACTCTTGAAATGCTGCATTGCCTTCTAATACTTCTCTTAATTATACTCTTAGGTTCTGCTATTTTATTTTATTTTTGTACCTTTGAAAGGAGTAAACAATAGTAAATTACATGATGACTGTTTCAATGTGTAGAAGATTTGTATGTCTGTCATTGTGAGGCTTTGCAAAATGGTACAAAGATAACAATTGTTAATACGCTTCATTTCTCTGATATCTGAAATTACGTGTTGTATGGAGATTTGGATCTGCTAACTCACTGCCAACATTGGAGAGTTCAGAGTTTTCTGTTCTACCCTGAATGCTAAAAGCAATATTAAGATAAGATGGATATATTTCAGTCTAAACACAAAGGTGCAGAGCAGTCCTGCAGTACATAATTAGAGTGTAACATCTCCTTAAGATATTTATTTGTATAGTTAATTCTTAAATTATGCTGCAGATTTTATCTTGTCATTGCTGGAAAAAAATGCATGCCTCTTTCAAGTTACTGTTTTGTCTTTCAGGTGATCCTAATAGTTTATGTGACAGTCCATCTTTAGTTGCTGATCAACATAGATGGACTATTTATCATTCCAAAGTAAATCTCCCAGCAGCACTAAATGATCCTCGGTTAACAAAAAGGGAATCTGATTTCTTTACAAAAACATGGGGACAGGATTTTGTGGACATTGAAGTTGTGCCTTCGCTCTACCTCCCACAGATCAGCAAGGAACTTTTTGTAACATACCAACAGGAAATTGTTCAGGTAAAGAGAAAATTCCTATGATAGACCTGTCTATTTCTGATGTTCAGGCTGTGAGTGCTGTTGCTTTTGTAGCAAATAAGGGCAGAAAAAGGAGAGTTGGGGGAACCCAAAGCATAGAAAGAAAGAAAAAAGGAAAGAAAGAAAGAAGAAGAAAGAAAGAAGAAAGACAGACCATAGTGCCTCAGAACAGCCTAATGAGGATTGAGTCTGCTCAGTGGCCATGGAATGCTGACTGACTTTTTTTGCGTATTCCTGTGCAGTTTAAATTTGCTACCGTCACAGGAAGATGATAAAAATGTAATTTGCTCTAAGTTCTTTCAACTGTTTATTTTTCTTCTTGCAGCTGGCTTTAGGACCTAAATTAGCCTGGCTGGTGAGGGACTGATAGTGAGGGAGGGTGAGCCGGGAAAAAGGAAATCTGCCTGCCAGACCAGAGGGGATGAGCACAGTTCATGCTAAACAGTTTTTTTTTTAAAAAGTTAATGCTAAATTGCTCAGCCCAAAGCCAGCTTTGAGCTAGTGTTTCAGATCCTGTTTTTGTTAGCCTCATAGAAAACTATGAGGTTTAGCAAACCATAGTTTAAGCTACACAAAACTGTGGTTTCCTGTTACATCTGGAAGTGGCCCACACTTAATGGAAATTTTTACACTTGTTGCACCACACACAGTTGTATATGAACATTTTTTAAAAGATTCCATATGCTTAGAGAAGAAACACAACTTGTTCATTTAAACTGTTTTTCCTATTTTTAAGCAGCGTGATGAAAGAAGTACAAGCTCTCTGTGCACAAAGGCTGAAAGTTTGGAACAGTTACTCTACTCTGCACACACTCTACCTAGCCTGCACATACTCTACCTAGCCCTTCTCTACTCTGCACACACTCTACCTAGTCTGCACACACTCTACCTAGCCCTTCTCAGTTTGAGCAGCAAGGTCTGAAGAGGACTTCAAGATGCATTTGACTGAATGAATTTGGAAGCTTCCTTGCAGTAGGAAACCAATAATCCAGAGTTCCTGGTCATGGGGAGGCTTCTAAGTTGTCCAGTTGAATTTGCATAGAAGACCCCTTCATGCTAAGCACACTAAGATGGAGAGTGGAGGGTTGGTGGGACACATGGACACTTAGTTCCCTGCACTCCCCCCCCCCCCGCCTACCCTTGCATGTTCAGGATGAAGGCCTGAAGAGTACTTTAGTGCTAAACCTTACAAAGAAGCCTTAGGCCCTCAGGTGCTTTGGGACAATATGTCCCACCAGCCATGGAGATAATGGGGGTTGCAGTCCAACAGCATATGTGGACCTAAGGTTGGGGAAGTCTACTTCAGAGGATAGCCCAGTCCTATGCATGGCTACTCAGAAATAAAGGTATTGTAGGCTTTATTCCCAGGTATGTACGCATAGGATGTCAGCTTTAGTT